GTTACCCTGAACCTATCCTGGAATCCTTATACCCCGAACCTTCCAAGTCCTACAGTTACCCCGAACCTGTCCTGGATTATCCTTCAGTTACCCCAAAATTATCCTTCAGTTACCCCAAACCCCTGGAGTACTTCAGGGGTTACCCCAAACCCAAACTATGGCCCTATCCAGGATTGTTTAGTTACCCCAAGTCCTGGATTATCCTTCAGACTTTACCCAAACACTGTCCAGAGTATCCTTCAGTTTGACCCTGGACCTCCTGTAGTATCCTTCAGTTACCCCGAACCTATCCAAGCTCAAGTCCTACATATAAAACATCAAAAACCCATACCCCTAGACTATTCATTGAGCCAAAGAAGTGACCCCTACTGTATACCTGGCTGCGGGGCAACTACGGAAAAAGACCCCAGGGACCTTAAGAACTGTGGGCTTGGACAGAAGACATTACCATGAAGAGAAGAGTGGACCTCTCCACGTTATCCCTCGGAGATAGGGAGCAAGGATCAATTCCTATGGACTACAGACTATGGACATCCCTGTTAGAAGTCTACGTGTGATATAACGAGTCATGTAGATGTCCGGAGTTCAGCTTTAAGATTTGTTTTTTTCTAAATCATCTCCAGTAGAAGAAATAAATAAATGTTGGATGCCAAATCGTTGGACAGATGACATGACCATGAAGAGAAGAGTGGACCTCTCCATGTTATCCCTCAGAGATAGGGAGCAGGGATCAATTCCTATGGACTATGGACAATGGACGTTCCTGTTAGAAGTCTATTTGTGCTATAACAAGTCATGAAGATGTCCGGAGTTCAGCTTTAAGATCTGTTGTTTTTTTTTCTAAATCATCTCCAGTAGAAGAAATAAATAAATGCTGGATGCCAAATCCTTGGGCAGATGACATTACCATGAAGAGAAGAGTGTGGACCTCTCCACGTTATCCCTCGGAGATAGGGAGCAAGGATCAATTCCAGATCATGACACTAGATGGTAACAATTGTATCATTGTGTATCAATCCAAAAAACTGATTGTTCTTTGGAGGGGGAATAATCCCGTCTCCCGGATTTGTGTCGATTCTTCGTCCTCGCCCCCCCCCCCCCCTTTCCCCGTCCCTGTTTTGTTTTGAACCAATATATGGAAGTAGCATTAACAATGCAGCGAACGGCGAGGAGTAATCAAGACACAAAGCCATTGAAAGCCACTTGTAATCCATGGAGAGGAAGAGTAGAGCTACAATTTGAAATTGTTCCATTTTTGAAATATCATGCAGTACTAATTCTTGGCCTGCTGAGAGTAGGAACAATTAAATCGTAACACAATTACAAGGGGATGAGCCATCTGCTCTATATTAGAGGCCATCTCCTTTCTGAAATGGAAACACAATTTTTTTTTTAATGCCGGCAACGTCTTTATTCTTGTTTGTTTCACGCGGTATTATCTGTGGATGTTTACCTGTGTGTTGAGCTTTCTTACATGCCAAAATAAACCCAACACGAGGAGTTTTGTGGGTTTAGCTTCGCTTTGGGATGCGACTAAAGGCAGTAGGACAGACAGCAATGGCTCCTTGGCCACTGAGGACTGGAAGCTCAAACATGTCTGCTCTCGGGTTCATTACTGTATATGTGCTCACCTATGTGTGAGTATGTGTGTCACGTACCTGATAGGAAACTGAAATGATGAGGTTGGCCTCTCTTGTATCTCCAGCCCAGGCCCCAGTGAAGGTGAAACAGATGGTACCAAGGGACACAAGGAACATGCCGGCAGGCGTTGATAGTAGAACTTTCAGTAGGAGATGCAGGCCCAGATGACCTGGCAGGACATCAGGTCAGGAACAGATGCTGTGCAAGATGGACCCACCAAGATTAAAGGGGCACTCCACATCATGCTCTGCAGGTTTTGGATGACCGACTTGTCAGAGCTCCCAGCAGGCTTGAGACAGCAACACTTTGTGATGATTAGAGCTGATGTGGATTATGGCCAGGGCATGCACTCAGAAGCAGAGTGGAGCACAATCAGAGATAGAAGCATGGGCACAGGGGTAGCCAAGGTCAGCAGCGACCAGGCAATGAGGAACAGAAACATAGACAGGAGCGTAGTCAAGAGCAGAGCCACGGTCAGGAACAGGTGGGCAGAAGTATGAGCTGGAGCCAGGGTCAGGTCTGTAACAAGCAACGGAGATCAAACACAGGATGCAAGCAGGACACAGGAACAGCACTGGTCCCTTAAACAGACTGTCTGGCACTAAAGGGGACTCTGGATTCACTGCCTGCAAGCATGTGCACCTGATCACCATTCTATAGGAAATACCATGCTCATGCACATTCCTGTGTGCCAGACATCTCACTGGAATTCCCATGTATTTTGAGGATAACCCAAGAAACCAGGTAAAGAGGGCAAAAAAAAATGTAGCACCTCTCTGACCCCTGGAATCATAGTGGTAAACCCCAGAGGAAGAGCAAGCTGACATCTACCACAGTGGTAGATTACGTAGGCATAGTGTGACACAAAGGCAGATGGGTCAACCACATTTAGGTAAAACACAAAAGGGATTTTATTACTCACCATCCATGGGAGAGGGTTAGCTTTGCAGATGCTCAGGACTTTAGCAGAACTTAATCACTTCACACGTCACAACACAGCGCAAAGAGCCTTCAAAAGTTGAGACCAACACTCCTGTGTTAAAACTCTTTAGCAATCACCAGTGGTAACAGCATCTTTTTTCTCCAGGAGCATCAACCAACCTCCATGGGACTCCATCCTTTTCCTAATCTTCTGCAGGAGAGTCAGCCAACCTCTATGGAACCCAATCCTGTTCCTAATATTCTGCAGGAGAGTAAACTAACTTCCATGGAACTCCATCCGGTTCCTAGCCTTCTGCAGGAGAGTCAACTAACCTCCATGGGATTCCATTCTGTTCCTAATCTTCTGCAGGAGAGTCAGGTAACCTCCATGGGACTCCATCTTATTCCTAATATTCTTTAGGGAGTCAACCAACCTCCATGGGACTCCATCCTGTTCCTAATCTTTGCCAGGAGAGTCAACCAACCTCCATGGGACTCCAACCTGTTTCTAATCTTCTGCAGGGGAGTCAACCAACCTCCATGGGGACTCCATCCTGTTCCTAATCTTCAACAGGAGAGTCAACCAACCTCCATGGGACTCCAACCTGTTTATAATCTTCTGCAGGAGAGTCAACCAACCTCCATGGGACTCCATCCTGTTCCTAATCTTCTGCAGGAGAGTCAGCCATCCTATATGGAACCCAATCCTGTTCCTAATCTTCTCAACTAACCTCCATGGGACACCATCCTCTTTCTGATTTTCTGCAAGAGAGTCAGCCCACTTTCATGGTTCTCCATCCTTTTCCTAGTCTTCTGCAGGAGAGTCAGTTGACCTCCATGGGATTCCATCCTGTTCCTAATCTTCTGCAGGAGAGTCAACCAACCTCCATGGGACTCCATCCTGTTTCTAATCTTCTGTAGGTGAGTCAACCAACATACATGGGCCTCCATCCTGTTCCTGATTTTCTGCAGGAGAATCAATTAACCTCCATGGGACTCCATCCTGTTCCTAATCTTCTGCAGGAAAGTCAGCCAACCTCTATGGAACCCAATCCTGTTCCTAATCTTCTCCAGAAGAGGCAGCCAACCTCCATGGTACTCCATCCTGTTCCTAATCTTCTCCAGGAGAGTCAAGAAACCTCTATAGAGCTTCATTCTGTTTCTAATCTTCTCCAGGAGACTCAACCACCCTCCATGGGACTCCATCCTGTTCCTAATCTTCTGCAGAAGAGTCAACCAACCTCCATGGGACTCTGTCTTGCCTTCATTGAAGATCAACTGCACCAGGCCTAATTACATTTTGTCCTCTTCAGTCAGGCAGACTTAAAGAAGCAGCTCCATTACATGCACCCTCCCCAGGCTCTAATCTTGGGAGGGTGCATGTGATGGAGCTGCTTCTTTAGAAGCTTGCTTCAACCAGTCTCAGATATTTATACCCTTTCCCGCAATGCACCACTGGCAAAGAAAACTAGTGGTGGGCTGAGAAAAGATATGAATTTTCATTATCCATACCTAAGGTGTGATCTCTGACTGATACCAGAGTGACAGGTTCCATATTCTACAATTACAAAGACGGCATCCCTGATGGTAAATGTTACAAGTGAATTATCTGTCTTTCGTTACATGTAATGTCATTGTTTCCTTGCATGAAAAACGTGTGTGTTGTCATCTCCGGCTCAATATGTTGAGGGTTCAGAGATGAGGAATCCAGACTGCCGGTACATAGACACTTGTCTCTATTGCCGAATGTAATCTGTAGATGTAAATGATGATGAACCGCACTACATACAGCAGTTTGTACACCAGCCCAGTTATTACTCGGAATAAATCTCTCTCAGCTTCTCGCTGCTCTCTATCACCAGCGGGTTATATTTTCTGGGAGTGATCATTTTGGGTTATTGTAACGTTTACCAGAAAGTCATATTTAACTTGACTGTTACATTGTTTTTTTCTTCTTGTTTTGAGTAGACAGTTCATCTGTTTCTGCCTTTTATATGCTTCTGCTCTTTTTTTTGGCCAAAAACGTATGAAAGGGTTCAAGGTAATTGATGTTGTTTTTAACCACTTCACCTTCGAAAGGTTTTACCCCCTTCATGACCAGGGCATTTTTTTTTTTTTTGCTATTCAGCACTGTGCTACTGTAACTGGCAATTGATCGGTCATGCAACACTGTACCCAACTGAAATGTATTTTATTTCACGCACTTTATTTCATTTAATTTATAATTTATTTATTTTATTTATTTTTAATTTCACACAAATAGAGCTTTCTTTTGGTGGTATTTAATCACTACTGGGTTTTTTAATTTTTTTTACTATGTAAGTTAAAAAGTGCATAAAATTTTGAAAAACAAAACACGTTTTTCTTAGTTTATCTTATAAAATTTTGCATCTTTCTTCATAAATTTAGACCAAAATGTATTCTGCTACATTTTTGGGAAATATTACCCAAATCAGTGTTTATTATTTAGTCTGTAGGAAAGTCATAGAAAGTTAGAGAAAATTGATCAATCCTGATATACTGATGGCTGATCTCAGTTCACGAGGCCTGAAAATGTCAGGGCAGTACAAAATCCCCCCAAATGTCAGGACAGTACAAATCCCCCCCAAATGTCAGAACAGTACAAATCCCCCCCAAATGTCAGGACAGTACAAATCCCCCAAACGTCAGGACGGTACAAATCCCCCCAAATGTCAGGACGGTACAAATCCCCCAAATGTCAGGACGGTACAAATCCCCCCAAATGTCAGGATGGTACAATTCCCCCCCAAATGTCAGGAGGGTACAAATCCCCACCAAATGTCAGGACAGTACGAATCCCCCTCAAATGTCAGGACGGTACGAATCCCCCCAAATGTCAGGACGGTACAAATCCCCCCCAAATGTCAGGACAGTACAAATCCCCCCAAAATGTCAGGACGGTACAAATCCCCCCAAATGTCAGGACAATACAAATCCCCCCAAATGTCAGGACAGTACAAATCCCCCCAAAATGTCAGGACGGTACAAATCCCCCCAAATGTCAGGACGGTACAAATCCCCCCAAAATGTCAGGACGGTACAAATCCCCCCAAATGTCAGGACAGTACAAATCCCCCCAAATGTCAGGACTGTACAAATCCCCCAAAATGTCAGGACAGTACAAATCCCCCCAAAATGTTAGGACAGTACAAATACCCCCCAAATGCCAGGACAGTACAAATACCCCAAATGTCAGGACGGTACAAATTCCCCCAAATGTCAGGACAGTACAAGTACCCCCAAATGTCAGGACGGTACAAATCCCCCAAATTTTAGGACGGTACAAATCCCCCAAATGCCAGGACAGTGCAAATTCCCCCAAATGTCAGGACAGTACAAATCCCCCAAATGTTAGGACAGTACAAATCCCCCCAAATGTCAGGACAGTACAAGTACCCCCAAATGTCAGGACGGTACAAATCCCCCAAATGTTAGGACGGTACAAATCCCCCAAATGTCAGGACAGTACAAATCCCCCCAAATGTCAGGACAGTGCAAATCCCCCCCCAAATGTCAGGACAGTACAAATCCCCCCAAATGTCAGGACAGTACAGGTCCCCCTCAAATGTCAGGATAGTACAACCCAACTGTAACGGAACCGGACCCAGTCTGCACTCGGGTATTTCCGTTAAATTCTCGCTTCCCTGTCCAAACACAGATCCACGGACACCACCGCTGACCAAACAGAAAATAGACAGCACCAGACTCTTCTTAAGACAGGAAGTAAAACTGCTTTATTTTAACACAAACACAAGATATATACACAGGGCGGGGAAATACAACCAGTAACAGGAAACACATCATCAGGCTGTCCCATCAGGGGGAAGGGCTGCCGGAAACACCCCCCACCAAACCAAGACACATAATAGAACAATAGGATACACCACATGGCAGTAGACAATACAGGAACACATGCATCCCATAATAGTTTGCCGGCAAGCAAGACACACAATAGAACAATGGGATACACCACGTGGCAGTGAACAATGAACAACCCCCCACTCCACCTAAACATGTCTACACAATATCAGGACAGATCACCCTGTACCCCTAACAGGCACAGAGTGGCTTACACATAAAAGGAATACCAGGGGTCCCCCCACCCCCAAAAGTCACTCCCATCACAACCCACCAAATGTTAGGACGGTACAAATCCCCCCAAATGTCAGAACAGTAAAAATCCCCCCCCCAAATGTCAGAACAGTACAAATCCCCCCCAAATGTCAGGACAGTACCAATCCCCCCAAATGTTAGGACAGTACAAATCCCCCCAAATGTCAGGAGAGTACAAATCCCCCCAAATGTCAGGATGGTACAACCCCCAAAATGTCAGGACAGTACAAATCCCCCAAAAGTCAGGCGAGTACAAATACCCCCAAATGTCAGGACGGTACAAATCCCCCCAAATGTCAGGATGGTACAATTCTCCCCAAATGTCAGGACGGTACAAATCCCCCCAAATGTCAGGACAGTACAGATACCCCCAAATGTCAGGAGAGTACAAATCCCCCCCAAATGTCAGGATAGTACAAATCCCCCCAAATGTCAGGACGGTACAAATACCCCAAATGTCAGGACAGTACAAATCCCCCCCAAATGTCAGGGACAGTACAAATCCCCCCCAAATGTCAGGACGGTACAAATCTCCCCAAATGTCAGGACGGTACAAATCCCCCCAAATGTCAGGATGGTACAAATCCCCCCCAAATATCAGGACAGTACAAGTACCCCCCCAAATGTCAGGATGGTACAAATCCCCCCAAAATGTCAGGATGGTACAAATCCCCCCAAAATGTCAGGACAGTACAAATCCCCCCCAAATGTCAGGACGGTACAAATCCCCCCAAAATGTCAGGATGGTACAAATCCCCACAAATGTCAGGACGGTACAAGTACCCCCCAAATGTCAGGATGGTACAAATCCCCCCAAATATCAGGACAGTACAAGTACCCCCCCAAATGTCAGGATGGTACAAATCCCCCCCCAAAATGTCAGGACAGTACAAATCCCCCCAAATGTCAGGACAGTACAAATCCCCCAAATGTCAGAATGGTACAAATCCCCCCAAATGTCAGGACAGTACAAATCCCCCCAAATGTCAGGATGGTACAAATCCCCCCAAATGTCAGGACAGTACAAGTACACCCCAAATGTCAGGATGGGACAAATCCCCCCAAATGTCAGGACAGTACAAGTAACCCCCCAAATGTCGGGACGGGACAAATCCCCCCAAATGTCAGGATGGTACAAATCCCCCCAAATGTCAGGATGGTACAAATCCCCCCAAATGTCAGGATGGGACAAATCCCCCCCCATCTATCTCTACCCCCCCCCCCCCCTTCCCGGAGGATGTGGAAATGTTTAGACTCTGCACACCTCTGAATGTCCCCTGTGTATCTCCTTTCGCAGTTTGTGTCTTTCTGTTTCCCGGTCGGATCCCTCCAGTGAATTGTATGTCTAGGTGTGTATCCATGTGTAAGATCCTCACGGTAGTTCAGGCCGGTGTCTGGCCGCGGGGGAACACACATGTAAGAAAACATGTTCCAGAGTTATTTATATAGAGAACATCCTTCGTGGTGCAGATTCCCCGTTCTGCTCCAACTGCTCTATTTTTATATCAACATTTCAATCCCATTCCCTGAAAGGTGACCAGAATTAGAAACAAAAATGAATAAAATAGCAGCTGATGCTCCACTTGTTACATTTTGTGCTTTTCTTCCATTTTCATTTTTTTTTCCTTTACCTGATGATCCTGAGATGAGAGTAGGGATGAGCTTCCGGCTCTGTACATGGGCGAGCAAACTGGACATATTCCCTATTCTCCCCTCTTTCCTCTTCCTCCCATCCCCGCCGCTCCCTATTCTCCTCCTTCCTTTTTTTTTTCTCTCCACCCCTCCCCCCCCAATATCTTTCAGCCATCTCACCCCTCTTCTCTTTTCTCCTCTCTGTCTTTTTCTTTCCACATTTCCTTCTCTCTCACTCACACTTTTTTTTTCTCCTGCCCCCCCCTTCCCCCCCCACCCTCTGTTTATTTCCCTCTCTTTCTCCTCTCAGTTCTGTAGTCCGCCCCCAACTCTCTCTCCTTCATTCTCCCCCTCCCCCCATTTCTCATATTCCCCCATCCTCTCTGTATCTTCCTATTTTCTCTTTCTACCTGTCCACTGTATCACTCTCTTTCCCTCTCTTTCAGTCTACCCCCCTTCCCCCACAGAACCCCCACCTCACCCCTACCTCCCTCTTCCTCCCTATTCTACTTTGTAACTTTTTTCCATCTCTCTTTTTCCATTCTTCCCCATTGTATCCTCTTGCTCTTTCCTCCAGCCCCCTCTCCCCCTCTTTCTCCCTCTCTGTTCTCTTCCACTTTTTCTCAGTATCCCTCTCCACCTCTCTCCACCCCCCCCCCCTTTCTCCCCCTTCCCTTCATTTCCCCCCCATCTTTATCTTGCTCTTTTTTTTTGTATCTCCCCTATTCCCCCCCCCCCCCCCCGCTCTCTCCCCTTCTCTCTTCTCTCTCCATTTTCCCTTCACTTATGCACTTTTTTCCATTTCCCCCTCTTTGCCCCACAAACTCTCGCTCTCTCTTTCTCGTTCTCTTCCCATCTCCTTTTCTATCTCTTCCCCTCTATTTGTGTTTCTCATTCTCGTCTCTCTTCCCCTCTTTCTTGTACTCTTTCTTATCCCCATCTTTGTCTATCTCTTCTCCTCTTTTCGTTTTTCTCTTTCTCTCCTCCTCCCTTTCATTTTCTCTTTCCCCTTTCTGTCTTTGCTCTCTCCTTCTGTAAGCCTCTTTCTTTAAGGGCTCGTTCACACTAGGCTGTTTTGCCAACGCTTGCCAAACGCCCCTATAGCGTTTGGCAAGCGTTGGTCCGGCGTTTGCGGAGCGTTTTTTAACGCTCGGGCAAACGCCGCATGCGCGGTTTAGCGGCAGTTGCTAGGCGTTTGCCGAGCGTTAATAACGCCCCACAAACGCCTATAATGCAGTTTGAGTGGTGTTACCGCTCCGCAAACGCCCCGCAACCGCGTCGCAACCGCACCGCATGGTGCCGGGGTTTGCGGCACCATAGACGAGAATAGGAGGCTTCAAAGCCTCCTGACTCGTCCAGAGGCGTCCGTTTTTTGCCGCGACGCGACGCAAACGCTCCCGTTAGAACAGCACCATGTGCTGTAATGTGCAGAATTGGCAGAGGCGTTTGGGAAGCGGTAAAAACGCTTCCCAAACGCCTCTCTGCCGCCTGCACACAAGGCTAGTGTGAACGTAGCCTAATTGTCTATTTTTTTTTATTTCTTTCCCTCTCCTTCTTTCTTTCTCATTCTCTCTGTTTACTTCCCAATCTTTTTTCCACCCCTACCTTCCTCTATCACCCCCCCCTTTCTTTTTCTTCTCTTCTTCTCTGTATCTGCGTATCCCTTCCTTCTCTCTCTTCTTTCCCCCCTCTCAATTTTACCATCTCTCTTTTGCTCCCCCTCCTTCTATGCCCCCCCCCTCTTTGTATCCCTCTGCCTTCTCTTTGTATCTCCCCTCCAATTTCTCTTTTTCACCCCTCCCTCTCAATTTTCTCACCATGCTTTTTCTCCCCCGCCCTCTCTCTTGTCCTTCTTTCTCCCCCTCCTTTGTATCCCCCTCTCTTTGTATCCCCCTCCCCCCCCTCTCCTTTTTCTTCCCCTCCCCCTCCATTCTCTCTCTTGCTCAGCCTGCAGCAGTATTGAATTATGGGTCTTTCTGCGGCACAGAAACATAATATTCAGCTTTCAAGGTTGAAGAATCCTTTATTTATCCTCCAACAAATACAATGTGTTCTCTCCAGCCAAACACCCATCCTCTCCTCACTGGTCATAAAACCAGGAAAAATGTGACTTTTATATTTGG